AGGAGGCAATTTAAAAAAAAAATCATTGCTGTCTTAGGATTTGCCATTAATTGGCTGAATTCTTGGCACTTGAATTCCTGTTCATGGAAGGCTGTCCTGAATTTTGTTTGTTTCAATTATGAAGCGTTTTGATGAGGCACTGGGCACCATGCAGATCTGAAAATGAACTGGCAATAAATGAAAACATTTTCTTGTTAAATTTAAGGCTCCATGATTTTAATTCAGTATCTACTAATGACACATTCTAATATTACTATCTCAAATGTTCGATGTAATAAAAAGAAAAGATGAAAGGCTTTTCTTTTCATTAAACTTCTGAATCCTTTTGTTTGGAAGACCCAAGTATTCTAGCATATCTACAATTGATTATACTCTGTAAAGAAAGAACACAGATATTAGTTATTCCTGATGGTACAGACCCTCAAATTAAAGTTGATCTATGCTAGTAGGAGCCCTTCTTGATTTGGGAAGTAAATCATTTTCCTATATGCTAAGAAAAGAATTTCAAAGGACAAACTGAGAAATATAGACATTTTTGGTTCTATTTTTTCACTTTCTTCATTACGTCTAATGAAACTTCATCACCACAGATCTCTCACTTATCATTCTCTTGGATTGAAAAAGTGGAGGCTACTGAGAAATGTAACACTCTCCTAATATTTTTTTAGTATTTCATTTGCACAAAGAACAGAACAAATGCCCCAGCATTCCATTAATGTTTCCTGCAAATCAGATAATCAAATTGCCTGGATTTCTATTACTGGAAGTCAAGACCAGTAACTCTGCTATGGAGAGAAACTGGCAAAGGCTGTTTGCTTCAATTCTGGGCTGAATCCTGCCCCCCCCTTCCTCTTCTAACACTACACAGTATAAGGTCCATCTCCTGGATGAATCATTGCTTGGACTATTTACTTTTTTCCTATACCTTACCTTGCATCATTTTAAAATTGTTGATAGGCCATGCTAATTGAAATCAGGTATCCTTAAAGGTACATTCCATTTCTTCCTTTAAAAAATATCAACTGTCAAAAGGTAGACCACCTCTTGGAGTGACTAACAGAAGTCATCCTGCTGCTAGTCCTTCTAAGACAAATGTAAATAACCAAGATTGCTGACAGGAATACACTATCAGCCTCATCAGTGTCTTTTAGTTTTTCCTAAAGGGTTATGAGGAATATTTACAGCCAAGTAAGTTTGGAGAGGGGAGACAGCCTGAGTCTGGGTGCTGTCGTTTCCACACAATGTTCTAAAGTAGGTCAGAGTTAAGGGACTTCCAGCAACGTTTCCCAGAAGGAAAGGATTTTCTCATTAGCTATGCAGGTTCCTGCGAAGACATCTGTTGTGCTCATAATATACTCTGCACCTCTATCTTACACACCAAGGGGCCGTGGATCATGTTTTCAGTTTTAAAACGAGTGAAAAATGCTTACTATAAGAAGTAATAAAACCTCTTTTGCCATTCGTTCTCAGACTGCAACAGATGCCCATGACCATGAATACCTTTCCAAGCTCTGAGGCCGCCCTGCCCATTAGCCCTTGCCATCCCCATCAGACCTGCCCTTGCTGACACAGCCCGAGAGGTGCAGACCCTCTGGTTCCATGTCCCCAGGGGAGCCAGGGAACGGATCTCTAACGGATGTTTTCATTGCTGTAGCCCCCCGTTCAATTTAGAAGGCCTCCTAGAACCTTTTTTCCTTCTTGAGGACTGCAGAGAAATAAATACAAGACTTAAAGAGCAGAGAAATTAAGCGCGATTTTCTTTATAGATTTAAAAAGAATGACAATTGATGACCTCAAGGAGGACTGCAGCCCTCTTAGAAGACATCAAGCTTCTCAGACAAAGGACCTGACCCTTCTAAATTGTTGGAGGCAGGCACTTCAAACATAATCCTACTTGGCAGCACAGAAGTGTGTTATTCTGAAGGAATGAAACCTTCCTATTGCTATATGTGGAACGTGTTCTGCCTGTGGCTGAGGAGCAGGTGATGGAGGGTTCATTTGGAACCTGAAGGGCCTGCATCCAGGTACTTCTCCCCAATCACTTCTTAAAGAGAAATTGAAATGAAGAACACTTGATCATACTCTTACTTTGTTCTCTTAATCACCAAATGATAGTTAATTAGTTATCAGAGGATCAGAAAAACACTTATGTGGAAGGAGACTTCTGGAAACCAATAGTGACTAGGATTAGACACCTGTGAAGAGCTTATTTCAATTTTTCTGAGAGGAATCAATATACACTTGCAGCTAATTAATGATTTTTCTCTTTTTCAGTCCCTAAAGTTTTTTTTTTTTTTTTTTTTAAAGATGCCCTTGTGTCATAAGGCAACCAAAAGATTTTTATGGATGGTTTAGACCTCAATTCCTTTGAAATCTGGCCTTCTCTCTTAAGAAATAAGAACAAAGAATATATGAAATGTGTATCAGATCATTGCTCAGTAAGGTTAACATCCAAAGTGTATTCAAAATGAAACACTGCTTCTGCCTTTAATATTCATCTTTGCATTTCATAAGCAAACAAAATAAATGAAAACCCCTTTCTCTGTTTCATTGTGTGCGACTTGTGGATCTGAGAGAGCAATCTGTTGCTGTTGTTAACGATCAAAAAGGTATTGCACAAGAATGATGCATGTCAATTTCTGAGATGACTGATGGCAATGAGGGGAGGAGAGGCCCAGAAACGCGTGAAGAACAGTGGCTAGTGCTGCACATGCTGTACGCCATTTATTCTGTGGATAAAATATGTGGCTACCGTCAGAGAGAATCTCTACGTGTGGGAAGGTGTCTGAGAAATGGCAGAGCACTCGCTGCAGGGCTACCAAGGATGGACCCGTTTGGGGCTGAAGACAGTAAAGGTCAAAACAGGATCAGAGGCATTTATTCGCTTCACCAGTAAGGTGAAGCAAGCAAGCACTTTGTTTTTCCCTGTGCACCCAGACACCATGAAATCGTAAACATTAACTGACAGGTTTGGTGGAAATATTGTGAAGGTCACAGATTTGCACCATTTTTGGGGTAAAATAGGAAATAAGGGGCCACACAATCACTGTCTCTTCGGGAAGGAGCCAAGCAACTTTTGTTTTTATTTTCTTGTCATGGAGACAGAGGCCCAGAGTGGGGATGCTAGGGATGGACCAGGGCAGTGGCCAAGTACCCCCCTCCACCTGGATGCACTAGTATATGAAATAAAGTGAAGCCACCTTCTAGCCCAAAGAGCTCAGTCCTTACAATCATTTGTTTTCTCTGAAAGCAAGATGCTGGGGCGGAGGGGGGGGACTGGGAGAGAGATGGCTATAGAGTCTACATGTATTTTAAACAAAACGATGTTAGAATTTTCACTAACTACATTCCTTCTATTGGATTTTAATAAAAAACAAGCAATTTCAAATGCTTGAGATATTCACCAGGGAGAAGGGAATCGTTTTGTACTTCATCTGAGTTATAATTTTCTCATTAAAATCTACCCATATCAAGTGGGGTGCACAAAGAAATAACAATTATTTTTAAAAGTTTTGACTGTTTAGTTTAAGGAGAGCTCTGAAAACACAATTTAGTTTGAAATTCAAGCTGTTTCATTTCCCATATAATCTTGTAAATTTCCTTCCCTTACAATACTCAGGTTGGAAGGGTGCCAAATTAGAGCAGGGACAAATTTTCACCAACTTCACTTCAGTGCTTTATTTTTAGATTATATTAAAAACCTCATTAGGCTCCCTGAGGGAAAAGAGTGTTAACCACTATCAGAGGCAGGGGGGAAAAGGGAACCGGAAAGATAAGCTAAATTGTTAACAAGGAAAGCTCTCTTCAAACAGTTGGTCCGAGGCCGATGTTAAAAGTGAAAAGTGACTTATTACCAAGACCAGGTAAATGACCTGAGCTTAGAGCTTAATTTTCTACCCCAGGGCTAGGAAGGCTAGTCAGGCTTATCCAAGTGGCATATGTCTATGTTATGATTTCCAGATGGGCACCGGAAGGGGGATGGAAGGAAAGGCAGGGAAATCTTTAAAAACTATAAACTAAGGCTCTATGCTTTCGTACAACATAAATGTGCTTTGAAGAGTCTCCTGTGGACAGGCTGGAAATGGGGTTGAAATTAAATGGAATGAAACACAGAATTTATTACCATATTTACATAATTTATACTTTTTTAAAGCAATGGTCTCATAAATATGGACTACAACTTTACATAGGCTAACCAACAGATAATTGTTCCCCCCACCAAAATATTTGGGTTAAATAAAAAATTGACAGTATTTACACTACTTTCTTTTCCTTCTCTTTAAACCAGTTAGTCAGTTTAAACATATGCAATTTGATTTACTCCAGTCAGCTTCTCCACCACCACCCCTGATCCTTACAGCTTATTATAGAAGGTGCCAGTAATGAGTTTGGTGACACATACAGGACAGGGTCAGAATGCAAAACAGAGGCTATTGTTGTGAACTTACTGAATGTATCCTGGGCTAATGTATGCAATGGAAAGTGCTCTGGAGATGGATGCAATCATTTCCATCAGTCCGATAAATAACCCATTTTACCTTCAGATAATAATCGCCATCCCTCCACTTAACGATATGCTACCTCATTGTAAATTATACAACTCCCCAGAACAGTGGTAATGGGAAACCACGGAAATTAATCTCCACGAGGTCTTCTCTCCCTCCAGAATGATGAAAGTGCTCATTTCCCTTTACAAATGTTACATAAAATCTTGATTACAAAACGAAGCAACAATTGGATCCTACCATCCATACAATTACATGTTCTTTTTCAACAGGTCAAAAGCCAGTGATGGAGTCCCCCAGAGTCTTTACATAACAAAAGTCCGAAGACTGAAACAGCACTGCTAGTCTTCGAAGAGGAAACAGACTGGTCAATTTCTGCGACTCTTTTGCACGAAGACCCCAGACCAGCTAGGCGAAGCCTGGCAGCAGGGCCCAGCCCTCCCGTTAGCTTTCAGGACCACCTACTTCACCGCTGTGGCTGAGGCTGAGGCTGAGTCAACAGCAGCTTCGCCTGGGCTCTGAGGGCTGTCTCCGGAGTTTGAAGCCCTTCCCGCCACATGGCGGGTTGGTGTCAGTGGATGGAATTCTTCGACCTAAACCAAGAGGACAGGAGGGAAGAGAATGAACCTTAATGTTCTAAATCTGCTCATTCTGACATAACTTTGTAAATATAACTTGACAGTTTTCAGTAAAAAAAATTTAATATTTTTAATTTTGTGATTTTAGATTTAGAGAAAAGTTGCAGAGATAATATACAGAGTTGTTGATACGCCTCACCCAGTTTTCCCTAATGTTACTATCTTATGCTGCTACAAGACATTTGTTGAACTGAAAAATTCAACATTGGCACATCACTAGTAGCTGAACTCCACTTTTTGTGGATGCCACCAGTTTTCCATTGTTTTGTTTCTGTTTCAGGGTCCAAGGAAGGATATCACGTGGCATTTAGTAGGTAATACATGCACATGGTTAAAAAAAAAAAAAAAAAAAAATCAGAACAGATCCATTCCTCTGTCCAGTATTGGATGTGGACAGAAACACACAACACACACTTTTTTAAAAATATATTTTATTGATTTTTTTTTACAGAGAGAAAGAGAGAGGGATAGAGAGTTAGAAACATCGATGAGAGAGAATCATCAATCAGCTGCCTCCTGCACATCCCCCACCGGGGATGTGCCCGCAACCAAGGTACATGCCCTTGACCGGAATCGAACACGGGGCCCTTCAGTCCGCAGGCCGACGCTCCATCCACTGAGCCAAACCGGTTTCAGCAACACACACATCTTAACCTGTCCCCATTCCTAAATTGGGACAGGAGCAACCAGAGTGCAAGGCTCTCACCTTGCTATCTTCAAGGTGTATCCTGGGACTGTCCCAGCACATTGCCTGGAGAGCTGCCATCTTCTAGGTGATAGCTCGGCGACACAGTAGTGGATTATGGATGTACTGTAATTAAAGTGCTCCCTTGTTGATGGATATTTAGTTTGTTTACAATATTCTGATGCTACTAACAATGATGCCAGAATATCTTTGTGTACCTGAGTGCATGTGTTGGATAAACTAACAGAGTGGAAGAGCCAGGTCACGCTATTCTAATTCTGGGTATTGACCCTGACAAATTCCCTGTAGCTGCCTACCTCGCCTAGATGCAGAAAGGACGTGCAATCTAAATTTTGACAGATGCTGCCAAATTGTTCTCTGAAGAGGCTGTGTCATGTTGTTCTGCTACCAACCATGAATGAGAATGAATAGGTTTCACTTTACTGCTCCATGAAGCATAATGCCAATTTTAAGGGAAACCTGAAATCACCTATCCATCCACCCAACCCACTGATAACTCAGGCTGCTTCTATACAGGTTTTCTTGACGCCTCCCGCTTCCTAACTCTCCAACATCTTGGGCACTGAAATCCATCAGGACTTTGGAGGTACGTGTCATATATTTGTTTATGCAAAGAGCTCCCTCAAATTAGACCCTCAGCCCTTCAAAGGGGAAATTCTGTTTGTCCATCTTTGTTTCCAGGGTCATTAGCACAGTTCCTGGCACTGAAGTATTCTGAAGACATGAGACGAACTGGGTGCATGCATTTTGGGCATGGACAAGCTGAGATGGAATCTGCTAGCTCCTGTGTCTTGGTTGCCATGCCTGGATCCTCCAGCACGTTGAGCAGCCTACAGATCAGGTGGGTAGTACCCAGCATGTGTCCATATGACTGGAAGGTATCCCCCAGTATGTCCTAACCCTACTTTTCAAGTGCCCGTACATGCTACTGTGAATAAACTGTTCACAACTTTTACTGATGTTTCTGGTCATCACACATTTCTCATTAAATGGGTCCTGGAAGTATAGCTGGGACAACAGTCACCTCTGAAATATGCTTAGGAGGCAGAGGAGGGCATCAAACCAGAGCCAGAAAGTGTTAACCATAAAGGAAAACAAGGACCAATGGGCATCTATTAAGGTTAAAAACTCCAGTTCATCAAAGGAGTGGATTCAGACATTTAGACATGGACAGAGCAGATTTGTCCAACACACATGATCACCAGTGGACTCACTCCCTAGTCAACCATAAACACTCAGGAAAAGGCAGGCAACTGAACAGAAAAACACAAAACTTCACAAAGGAGGATATTCTGAGAGTATGTAAATGTAAATAAAAACCTGGAAAGGTGCTCAACTTCATTAACTGTCAACGAAATACAAATCTCTATCTGCCCACCAGGGATGGAGAGTACTCCCATTCCCCTGGTGTCAGCAGGTACACGTTCAGTGAACACATGCATACCCAGGACTCAGTTATTCTTCTCCTGGTATAAAATACACCTATAGAAATGTGTGCCTATTGTGTAGATAGCGGACGGGAAGCAGAATGCTCACAGCAGTACCATTTGTAATAGCTCTCCATTGGAAACAACCACTCAGATACCTATCAACAGGATGGATAACTACTGTGGGCATCCTCCCTGCTCTGACTCTGAAGCTGACGGATGCACCATGGGAACAAGAATGGATCATGTAATGATATGGATGAACCTAAAAGCGTATGAACCTAAGAGAGATAAGGAAGCCAGACACAAGAGTAAATATAGTATGTTTTAAAAAACAAAGTATGAAACGAGGCAAAACAGATCTGAAGTGTCAGTAGTCGGGACGACGGTTCCCTTGGGGGGTGCCCCTGGACCTCACTCTGGGTGCAGGTGTCAGTATACTTTGCTTATGAAAATTCCTTGAGCGCTATACATCTGATGTGAGCACTTACACTTCAGGAAGAAGCAAGTATGCCAGCTACTGTGCTAACACAACTTTATAACACCCAGTAAACATTAACCTCAATTTACATCTCTCAGTTTTTCTAATCTTTCTGAACATATATTTTTTATTTTTCATGTTAAGGTGGGTATATACATGCTTGTTTTTATTTAAGGATTTTCATTTTTGGTATAATACACTGCCTCCCTGTTTCGAATACTGTTAAAAAGAATACTTGAAAATAGTAATAATCTCAGTTCTACACGGTATGACTTAATGGTTAGAGCATTGGCCTTTGCACTGAAGGGTCTGGGGTTTGATCCCAGCCCCCAGTCAGGATGTGTGCAGGAGGCAACCAATTGATGTGTCTCTCTCATATTGGTGTTTCTTCTTCTCTTCCTGCCTTCCACTCTCTCTAAAAATCAATGGAAAAAACATCCTTGGGTGAGGATTAACAAAAAAATAATTAAAGAAAAAGTAGTAATTTTAATACATGCCTGACACCATACCTAGATTTTTTTAGCCTGAATTGTGAAAAATTTCTGATTGGCCTCATGTTGCTTTTAAGAATGCCTTTGGGGCCCTGACTGGTTTGGCTCAGTGGACAGAATGTTGGACTGCAGACAGAAAGGTCCCAGGTTTGATTCCGGTCAAGGGCAAGTATCTTGGTTGCAGGCACATCCCCAGTGGGAGGTGTGCAGCAGGCAGCTGACTGATGTTTCTGACTCTCTATCCCTCTCCTTTCTTCAAAGGAGAGGGATAGAGAGTAAAAAATAAAATAAAATAAAAAAAAGTTAATAAAATATATATTAAAAAAAAAAAAAACCTTTGGGGCCCTAACTGGTTTGACACAGTGGATAGAGCATCAGCCTATGGACTATGGAGTCTCAGGTTTGATTCTAGTCAAAGGCACATGCCTGGGTTGTGGGCACGATCCCCAATGAGGGGTGTACAGGAGGCAGCCAATCAATGATTCTCTCTCATCACTGATGTTTCTCTCTCTCTCTTCCTCCTTGAAAATCAATAAAAATATATTTTAAAAAATGAATGCCTTTGGGTACCTGCTATTTACATTCCAGGAAGACAATAATCATCACTACTTTTTTTCTTTTTTAGGAAATTTTTCCATTGGTCTTCAGACAGAGTGGAAGAGGGAGAGACAGAAACACTGATGCAAGAGAGACACATTGACTGGTTACCTACCCCACTCGCCCTCACCTAGGCTGCGGATCAAACCTGCAACCAAGGTACATGCCCTTGACTGGGGAATCGAACCTGAGACCCTCTGGTCTGTGGACTGACGCTCTAACCACTGAGATAACTGGTCAGGGCACATCATGAATTTTTTAAAATTTATATTTTATTGACTTTTTAAAGAAAGGAAGGGAGAGGGTTAGAGAGCCAGAAACATCAATGAGAGAGAAACATCAATCAGCTGGCTCTTGCACACCCTCTGCCAGGGATGTGCCCACAACCAAGGTATATGCCCTTGACCAGAATCGAACCTGGGACTCTCGAGTCTGCAGGCCGACGCTCTATCCACTGAGACAAACGGGCCAGTTTTTAATGTTGACCCGAAGGAACTGTATTAAAGGTTGCAAACCAGCAGCCCACGGGCCTTCTCTGCCATAGATGGACTGGTAGGTCTGTACAGTACTCTACAAACATTTAAGTTAGTGGCCAAATCTCAGCAGTGGAATATGTTACATAAAATTCAGATTTCTGGCCGAGACCAGTTTGGCTCAATGGATAGAGCGTCGGCTTGGGGACTGAAGGGTCCGGGGTTTGATTCCGGTCAAGGGCATGTACCTTGGTTGCGGGCACATTCCCAGTGGGGGGTGTGCAGAAGGCAGCTGATCGATGACTCTCTCTCATCGATGTTTCTAGCTCTCTATCTCTCTCCCTTTCTCTCTGTACAAAATCAATAAAATATATATTTTTTTAAAAATTCAGATTTCTGGTTCTCTGAACTAAAAACATCAAAAATTAAAAATGAAAACAAAAGCAACCCAAACAATTGGGCGACCAGAGGCTTACACTCTGGTGTGGCCACACTGTTGGAGTTGGGCCCCCCCACCAGCTGGGAGGCTTTCTGCCGTCTGAGTCCCAGTACTCGCCCTGGGCCTCTCCACTGGTGGGCCATCACTGGTGGTCCTGGTGGGCACTGAGTCTTCCAGCCTCAGCAATCTCCTATCTCACTAGACAAAGGGTCTTTTTTTTTTTTTTTTTTAAATATATTTTATTGATTTTACACAGAGAGGAATTGAGAGGGACAGTGAGTTAGAAACGTTGATGAGAGAGAAACATCGACCAGCTGCCTCTTGCACGCCCCCTACTGGGGATGTGCTCGCAACTAAGGTACATGCTCTTGACCGAATCGAACCCGGGACCTTTCAGTCCGCAGGCCAACGCTCTATCCACTGAGCCAAACCGGTTTTGGCTAAACAAAGGGTCTTAATGAGCAAGCTCCTGGAGCCCGATGGCCATCCCCGCTCTCCAGCTGGAGTCTGATATGCTCAGTTATTGTGATTTCAGGTCCTGGCACGGCCTGCTCTGTCACAGCTCCAACATCACCTGCTCAGAAAAGGCCTTTCCTGACCACCTGCAGGCACTCTTTCATTTCATCCTATATTACTGTCTTGCTACCCATGCTTATCATCTGAGAGGATCTCACTATTACTGTGCTCACTGTCTGCCCTGCAGGGCAGTCTACGCTCCAGCGGCGCAGGGGCCGTGCCTGTCTCGTTCTCCACGGCCTCCCCTGAGCCCAGAACAGCTCTCAATAAACATTTTGATGAGCTTGAATGAAATGAATAAACATAGACACAATCCGTAGAGGGTCCCAAAGGTATGCAGCAGCCTCTCCAGCTAGTGTCATCGTATTAACACTAGATAGGAGGAGGGAGAGGAAAACAGGTCTTACCTTTTTCTCATCTAGTATTAATTTTTGAGGGTTTCCTCACAGTGGAATTCCATATGCATTTTCTGTCCCCTTATTTATTCTATTCATTCTCAATGACTGTGGACGACTCATTAGAACACACAGAGAGAAAGGGGAGAGCATGTTTTCAGGCCCTCCAGGCCCCGTGCATTATTTATTAGCAGCAGCCATCTTAATAAAGGGTCAGGCGTCAGGCAGCAGCTCTCCAGCAATTTCATGACACGAGAACCGCTGCCACTTGTACCCTCTCAACTCTCATTCCACCGAGAACCACACCAGAGGTGAGGAAGAAATTCCACCCAGAAAGACAATTATGTTTGAAGTTGCCCTGCACAGGAAAAAGCCATAGAGCACAGAGATACTCACTAATTTCTATAAAGAGTTCATTGATGTTTATCGCATTTTTTGCACTGGTCTCTACAAAAATCGCATGGATGGAGTCGGCGTAATCCTTAGCATCTCTCTCCATGACTTCTCTGAAAGGCAACGATTGCAAATCAGAAATGTGACCCATCCAAGCTTCATGTTATCCCACCTACCAGTAATTCAGCGGGCTGATGATGACAAAGGATGCCACGAATGGCTTGTGTCTGTGGTTAAACAAAACAAAAACGCACTGCTAGCAACGCATGCAGTAGAATGATCAGAGAATGGCCGTGGTTTCTCTCCCCACTCACCAAACTGACGGCCCTGTGCTGGGAATTATAGATGTGGCCCACAGAAACCTGTAGCAAATGTGCTTTCCTGAAAACCTGCTTCTCCCTTTCCAGTATACTATTTCATGGGAGCTAAGCTCAGATAATGTCAAGCCTGATGCAACCAATGTTAAATAAATTACTTACCTGTCTACATATATAACCTAATTGGCTCCAAATGCCTGAACTCTTAATTTTACTTTGAAACTTCAGGACTCCAGCCACACAACGAAAGGGGATTTTTCAACGTCAGAGATAAAGTAAAAGCAAGATTGTTGAACTGGATATTGCTTGGTGAGAAAAGGAACACATGATCAGCATTGTAATCTCCTGTTCTAATAACTTACCTCACATCGATAAGATCACACTTATTTCCTGCAATGGCAACTACAATATTAGGTGGGCCGTGCTGTCGAAGCTCCTTTACCCAATTCTTTAGTGTTGAAAAGGTCTCCTGAAACACACAAGAGGAAAGCAACTGGAGAGCTAAGCAACCCAGAGGGTTTTCAAAGCAGTCTGGAGAACACAATACAGGTCTTACTTCTTTTGTGATATCATACACAATTATAGCTGCAGCCGACCCTCGATAGTACATGGGCGCTAAGGCACGGAACTGCAGAGAAAAAGAACAACAAAATTGGGAAAACTGGTTAATGTTTTTTACTAGACTCTTAAACCCATTATCCCTACACAAAAGGTAATCTTTCTTCTAAGCCCAAGATGACATGATGCTTTAAAGCAAATGAGGCAGTGATTACCAAAGGCAACAACTCTAATGTAACACTGAAATGTCTCTCAGAAGATAGTTTAGAATACAGTTTTATAGGAATTAAATATAGTGCTATAAACAATTGTTTCAGCTAAAAAGGCTTTTTAATTGAACTCAATGTTATAGTTCCCAAATTCACTTGTTCAATAGTCCTTTAAACTTCGGCTCCTCAAACCATCAAGGAGATAAAAATCATGCTGTAAATAGCTCTCCAGAGAAGTGGCTGCACTGGGGTGTCATGAAGAAGACCTGTCATATGAATGCTGATGGCATCCCAGAAATGAGGACACATCGACCCTCCATACTGGGGTGAGTCTATGACTCCATTTCTGACTAATTCCATGCAGGTGGCAATTCCCAAATGCAAGTAAGCATCTAATTTCATTTACATGAATTTAACTCTGCATACAAAACTCCCTCCCACTCATCACCGCCCCCTCCCAGCCTGCACACAACAGGAAAGGAAAGGAAGGAGGAAAGAGAAATAACAGGAAAGAAGGGGAGGAATGATGGGGAAGGGAAGGGAAGGGAAGGAAGGAGGACAGAAATGACAGGGAAGGGAAGGAAGGAGGAGAGAGAAATAACAGGGAAGAAAGGAGGGGAGGAATGATGGGGAAGGGAAGGGAAGGAAGGAAGGAGAGGAATGAAAGGGAAGGAAGGAAAGGAGAAGGAATAATAGGGAAGGGAAGGGAAAGAAAGGGAAGAAAGGGGAAGGGAAGGGAAGGGAAGGGAGGGGAAAGGAAGGGAAAGGAAGGGAAGGATGAATGACAGGGAAGGAAAGAAAGGAGGAGTGGAAGAACAATAAGCTGAGTAGCTGGCCATGTCTCTCAATCAGTGAGAGACATGCTGATGCTCTCTGCCCAGTCACCTGGGCTCTCTGGTTGTTTGGATGTGCTGGTTTAAGTATCTCACTCAGTGACTGACGCCAAAATCTAAAGAGATTTTACCTGTAATTGAACTTTGTCTTACACCTCACGTTTGAAACCGGATCCAACATAGAATGGGCTCCCACTGTCCTCCCACTGCTCTCTGTTCCGGGGGCTAGCCCACCTCGGGTAGGAACTGTCCGCAGAGGTGAACATCTGCTGCACAGCACAACTCACATACAGGGTGACAGTTTGCAACTTCTCACCTAATGAGCTTGACCTCTGGCTTTTAAACTTCCACATTCATTTGAGTTTTACAAAAGAAAGCGAAATTTTGACTGTAAATTCCATGAGGGAAGGGAAGGTAGCCTGTTTACACGGTATTTTCTCTGGGGCCTAGCGCCTGCATATTGTAGAAAAGCCAGCATTGGTGAAAACACAGGAAGAACTGTTAAGTATGGGGTGATACCAAACTAAAGCCAGACCCCAACCCAATGTCATAGGAAGTTTCACTGGTCTCTAGGAGAAGACCCCTGCCTCTGGACAGAAGCCTGATAACTCCCAATAAAGTATGTTGTTTTACAGAGGAAACACACACACACACAAAATACAGGTTAGGAGCACGAACGTGCTACCTAGAGGGAACTACATTCCTGGGTGGGGAAGATGGCTGACTTCCCAGGGGAGCAGGAGCGTACAGGCAAGACAAAGGGATGGTGGTAGCTTTCATTTCTGATGTACCACATCGCAATGTTTTTACAAGGTGGTGGTTGTTTTTACCTTCAAATTTGGAAGATAAAATTTATATAGAAAAGTACAAAGATCTTAGGTTTGATAAAAGATCTTAAGTTTTGATAAAATAACATGTGAATGCACCCACGTAAACATCCCACCAAGATAGTAAACATTTCTAACACAGCAAGTTCCCTGATGCACCTCTTTAACCTTGACAATAACCCTTGTCTTCAAATCTACGCCACTGATATTGAAATAAGCACAATGGTTTTCTTTTGCTTATGACTGGCATGGACTATCCTTTTCCATTCTTTTATTTCAATCTCTCTCTGTTAGTATTTAAGGCCAGCCAGCACATAGCTGATCCTGCTTTTCAACCATGCTGATAACCTCTGCCTTTTAAGTGAAATGTTCAGTTCCTTTATATTTCATGTACTTAGTGATATATTTGGTCTTACTGATATTATGTCACCATTTTGCTATTTGTTTTATATTTGTTCCATTTCAAAAATCCTGTTCTTCCTTTACCTTCTTTTGCATTAACTGAATATTTTTAAAATATATTTTATTGATTTTTTACAGAGAGGAAGGGAGAGAGACAGAGAGCCAGAAACGTCGATGAGAGAGAAACATCGACCAGCTGCCTCCTGCACACCCCCCACCAATGTAAGTGCCCTTGACCGGAATCGAACCTGGGACCTTTCAGTCCGCAGACTGACACTCTACCACTGAGCCAAACCGGTTTCGGCTAACTGAATATTTTTAGTATTTAATTTTAATAATCTGTCCATTGGCTTTTTATCTATACCTTCTTGTATTACTTTTTATGTGGTTGCTCGTATAACTGCAATATACATTTCCCACACAACCCCACAGTTGATTTTGAGTTTAAAAATGTATTGTACTACCCCATGGAAAATACCAGAACCTTGCAAGAGTCTCATTCTTTTTATCCCACTGTCCTATGTGCTGTTGTCAAATACCAGTATTTTCAATCTACATACACTATAAACTATACAATCCACTGTTGTAGTGTTTGCAGTAAATAGCCAGCAGCCTTTAAATCAGTGGAGAAAAGGGGTTTTTATATACTGCTTTCTTTGGGTCCGAGTTGCCACTTTGTGTCACCCGTCAGCCGGAAACCCTTCTGGGGCTGCTGCAGCATCCTTCCAGCGTTTACTCTAAAACTGTCATTACTTTGACTCCATATTTGAAAGATAATTTGGCAGGATGACTTTTTTGCTTTCAGCACTTTAGAGATGCTGTTCCACAATCTTCTAGCCTGTTTCTGTGGGATGTTAGCCATCACTCATACTGTCCCCCTGTACGTAACGTATTTATTATCTCTGCCTGCTTTCACAAGCTTTTCCTCTTTAACTCTAGTTTTCAGCAGTTTGACTATGATTTACCTCAAGGTAGTTTTCTTTGTACTAATGGATATGCTGAACTGCTTGGATTTGTGAGTTAATGTGTTTCACCAGATTTGGAAAATTTTCAGCTATTATTTCTTGAAATATCCTTTTTTCTGTTCCCTGCCTCCCCACTCCTGGGTCTCAGTTACACAAACGTTAGACTGTGAGGATTTGTCCCTATGGTAGTGAGATTATGCTCATTATTTTCCCACTCTCCCCCTGTTCTTCTGATTGGCTCATTTTTGTCACCCATCCAGCAGATTTTTCATTTTCTATGTTACAGTTTTCAGTTTTACTATTTCCATTTGGTTATTAGTTTCCATTCTGTGCAAGCTTCCCCATCTGTACAAAGTAGATAAGACTACTTTTCCTTAAATCTTTGAACAACTTAAACTATCTTTACCTTCTCCGAGGAGTGTGAAATTGCTGACTACTCATCGTGAGATTGGTTTTGCCGGTGGTTAGGGTAAGTCTGTCTGGGTCTGTCTTTAGTCCTCGGACATGGTGTCTGCTTCCGAGGCCTGATCCTTTAGAGGTTTCAATGGAAGCCCAAGGTGTTTACCAATCCCTCCAACACGGCAGGACTGGACTCAAACCCCTGTAACGGACGAGCAGCACCCAACCTCTGCTCAGTCTTGTCGCCTTTCTAGCTGTGCCTTCTGTTGGGGGTCTCGATGTCTTCCCTGTGCATTCAGAATTGGGGGGTAGGCAAAGCCTTGATGGGAATTTATAAGAGGATTTTCGGGCTTTCCTCCTGGTTGGGTCCCCCTTTTCGGGGACTTGCCTTTTCTTTTCTCGGTTGCTCTCCCAGCCTTTAAGTCTGTTCTCACCTACCACACGATAGACAGACAGGCTTTCTACTTGAGTCCTAGCTACCCTGAACCACATGGAGTGGGGAGTGCCCTCCAGGGAAGAACTGTAAAAATGTGGGTCTCCCCCAGGGGAATCTTTAGCTGCATCTGGCAGTCCTTCTGATATAGATGATGTTTAATGTGTTGTCCCGTTTCCATAGAACTGTTTTCTGTGGGAGGGTGACTCTCGTACAAGCCACTCCACCATTACTGACATTGAAACTTTTTCATGTTCTTTTATGTAAAGGAAGGTGGCAGCTTAAAGAGAGACTCAAAGGATGTCCGCACATCTCTGCTCCAAATCTGGGTCCAGATAAGGGCTCAGCAAACTTTTTCTGGAAAGGGCCAGTTATTAAATATTTCAGGATCACTTGATCTTTGTTATAACTTCCTAACTGAACTACTGAAGAGTGAAAGGAGTAGAGGACAATATGTAAACAAATAGGTGAGTGGCTATGTTCAATAAAACTTTATTTACTTGTTTCTGTAAATCTCTTTATTTATAGAAACAAGCAGCTAGCAAGACTTAGCCCACAGACTAGTGTTGACTTGAGCTCTCGATGATACTAAGCGACTGCACTTGTTCGTGATTTAAAACCCCAAAGCAGTTCCTTCCATGACTACTGTGACAATAAGTGAGCCTTCCTGGTGCCACCTCTGGAAAGAGTTGTCTGAGTAGCATGTGAGGATTCAGGAGCATAAACCTTCAAGGACTGGATGCAGTGTCTACTGGACTTCGGTTAAGCAGCTTTCCTTTATATGATCACAGGCAACAAGTATTTGAAATGTTGTGACACTATGGCGTATTTATGATACGTGTTTGTGAAGCTTGGTGCACAGCCCCCAGAAAACTGTACGGAACCTTGTAGTGAAGAATGACTGAAAATATGTCACCTAAAATGAAGTCATTAAGGAGAGAAAATAGGGACAAAAAGGTCTGGCAGGCTCTGTCTTGAGAAAATAAATTTTAAGTTATAAAAACAAGTGTCATTTAATCTGACATTTGGAAAAAAACTTAGGTTTGTTACTGCACCCTGAACCTAGTTTGCTGAATGAACACTGAAGCCAAGCTGACTGGTAGTCTGACTGGTTCTTCTGATGAAACCGCCTGCTGGTATCAGGTGACAGCTTCCATTTCATCTCGGTTCTCCTAGTCCAACTTAAAAAGGATAACTTTTACAAAACTATTTGAGGATTTCACCAGTTTTCCTTAGGGCTCTCAACTCTTCTACATACAAATCATTATCTTCTGAAGCACTTGTATCATCATCACTTCATTTAAGAAGATCCGACCATCACTGCTTTGCACAACACCTGTGAAGTTCTCCAGAATCTCTTCCACTGATTTAATGAATCACTTGGCAGTCCACTGCAACTGGACCATCAAACTAACAGACAGTCGCAAGGGTCAAAATGGGGTTCACCCAAAAGGGTTTTTATTTTACGATGACTTTGGTTCCACAATGAATCTCGTTACTACAGAAAACAGAAGATAAACAAGTAAGGAAACAGGTACAATGCCATGGATAAGGGCAATCAATGACTCTTCAAACTACAAAGAGAAGTGCTAAAGTGTTTCTCTCATGACTGGTGACTAGTATCTGCACATCAGCTCTAGGTCAGGCACTATTCGAGCAGTGGGAATATAGCAGCGAGGCAGCGAGACAAAGGTCCCAGTTCTCCCAAGTTTACAGTCTGGGGGAGAGATGCCACTAAAGGTGAGAGGACAGATATCTATTTACAACTTAGAATGAGGGTTCTAAAGAAAATAAATCAAGGACACTTATGGAGAATGAACTGGGGCCCTATTAGCTGTGGGGTCTGAGGGCATAACAGTTAACTTGAAACAAAAAGTTTAGTAAGGAGAGCTGACCAGGCACCCAGTGGAGGAGAGAGGAAGTTCCCGCAGAAGACTCTACGTGTGTAAAGGCATGGTGGGTAGAGTCTGAGGAACTGAATGGAGACCAGTGGGCTGCAACTCAGTGAGTGAGAGGGAGGATAGGTGAAGAGAGAAGGCAGAGAAGGCCATGCCAGGTTTTGTAGGCCACTGTTCCTAGGCTGGCTATTTCACTGCAGGAAGACAGTGAAAAGGATTAAGCAAGAACATAATAGGTCTGATTTATGCTTCCAAAAGACTCCCGAGTCCTGTGAGCAGTGATAAAGTGTGGTGGGGTGGGAAAGAGAGATTGCAGGGAGGAACACCTGACTGAGAGCTAAAGGTGGCTGAGAGCATGGTGCTGGCAGTGGAGATAGAGAGAAATGAACGACTTGAGATCTATTTGGAGCAAATGTGAGGGGGACGATGGAGGTTTGGGCAACGTGGGTATACAGCATTGTGGGTACTTATCTGAGAACAGCAGGACAGTATGGAAAATCCACCCTCCCCTGAGGTGACACGAGAGGCAAGTTTTCTAGGTTAAGGTGGGAGAGGGTATTCAAAGCAGAGGAAACAATAGTTCATGGGGGTGAGGGTATGAAATTGTAGGGTACATTGGTTGGGTCCTAGAGGATAATTGGTCAGAGAAGGTACAAATGGAAACTCTGGCTAAGGCTGGCATAGTCAGGGACTTTGAGGCCTTGCCCAAACTGGCATCAGAACAAGCTCACAGGTAATGTCCTGGACAATTCTCACAGTACTTTAAACAATTTGTGATTCACTGTTACATGTTTAACTTTTCTGAAATGCAGTGGCTTGGCAACCATAAGCTGGACCTCTTCTCAAATCTCCTAATGGGGTCTGGGTCCTACCAGCCAGTTCTCTTGACTTCTGTCTGCTGCCTCATTTACATTCCCTGGGCAAGCTCCTGACTAAGACATGGAGCTTCAGGTAGGGGTGAGGCAGCCTTATATCTCAGAGCAACTATTCCTGGTGCAGAATCAATGGGAAGTGGGGGAAAGAAAAGGTAGGCAAATTAGCTAATTACAAAACGTAAGCCCTGGCCAGTTTGGCTCAGTGGTTGGATTGTCGGCCTGTGGACTTAAGGGCCACAGGTTTGATTCCTGGTCAAGAGCATGAATCTGGATTGCAGGTTCAATCCTAGACTCCAGTTAGGGCACGCATGGAAGGCAACCAATCAAATGTGTCCTACATCTATCTATTGCCTCCCTACCTCCCTCCCTTCCACTCTCTCTAAAAATCAATGGAAAAACATCCTCAGGTGAGGATTAACAAAAAACAAACAAAAAAAGAACATCTTAATAGGTTTCTGCTATTATGGCAGCAGCAAGGGAGGTTAAACACTACTAATTCTTTTTTTTTTTTTTTTTTTTTTTTTGTGGTCTAGAAAAAAAGAGATGCTCCATATCACTGTGTATACTGACTCAAAGCATCATGGACTCTATATCACAGCCTGATTCTTTATAATGAGGATGTTGCTGTATCATCAAATATATGGGAGGGGTAAATTGAAACTTGGGATTCAGTGAAAAGGTACATATGTTGTCAGTATGAAGAGTCACCTGAGTTTTTGGTTAATAGAACACACACCACAACTGTGCCTACAGATATGCTAAGGAAGGCTCTGTGGAAGCAACACTTGGGAAGGATGGAAGAGTGATGGCTAGCAAAGGCCTAACTGTCCTAACACTCCATGCAGATACAGAGTATAATACAAGGCATGGGAGAGTCTAGGAGCTGGATATCAGATGAGCAATTGACACAGGGTATGACATCCAGGATTAAAACAGAAGCAAGGTAACAGATAAACTTAGGTCATTAAATCTGTACAGATGCAAGGTGTCTATGTCCAGGACAACAGTAAGGGCTGTTTTGTTTCCTTTGTTTGTTTGTGATGATTCTGTCAGGTTTTATGCCACACATAGTATCTCTGCTGTCTTAGATAAGACTGTGATGACAGACTATTTCTTCCAATTACTTCTGGAGTACTTTTAAGAGCTTAAGATAGCACTGTGCATCCATCAGATGTTCTATCTGATACTACTGTTTGAAAACAAAATTAAACAACAGGTAAATAATGGGGTGGCTGCCAGACATCCCTCGACAGGGAAATTAGACTTTGGGCCCAGAGTAAAATAAGGCAGCAGGCAGGTGTGTGTTCTCCCACCACCTTCCCACTCCTGTATGACTTGGGTGGGCTTCACCCCATCTCCCCTCTGCACTGTGATGCCTCAGCCCAGTTCCTACATTTGGTTCAGGCTCTTCCTTAAGCAGATAACCATCTTGGACAATTTTATCATCAGGCACTTATTAAGTATCTATTGCAAAGCACTGTGTTAGCTCATCCATTTCACTCAATCTCAAACTTTATACGTAGTAAGTTCCTTCTTTAGCTTTTAAAAGGCAGCTATAAATGAGATGTGCTTAGCTCTCCCTTTCTGCCACTAATTCTCTTCTATCTTTGTGGGAGGACGGAGCCCCAAATTACACACAATGCTCTAAGTGGGATTTTATCAAGCCCGTTAGTCAGCATTTACTTTAAGACACTAAAAAGTATAAAAATGCCCTCAGTACCCATTACCATTTTCTCCATCAATGGACTTTGCGGTTCTAATTGAAAAGAAAAAGGCTGTCCTACGCAAACAGGAATAAATGTATCTCAGCACACAGAAGAGAAGTGGGTAATGTGAAAACGACAGGGACATCAATGGTTTAGTTGGAGCTTTATTTGGGCCTCAGAAAAACACATAGTATATTAAAGGGTGACTTACTCGTTCTTGTCCAGCTGTATCCCAGATTAGGAATTTATGTAGCTCATTTTGGTACTGGACAGTCTTGGTCATAAAGGATGCCCTATAAAGAGAGACCTAAATGATCAGAATACAATTATTTAAAGCATGTTGCCAGCCCCAGTTGGAAACATCACTTAGACTTTTTAACGCTCAGGCTCCTGCTCCACACTCTGTCCTCATTGTGGTCCCCTCTGGAGTATTTATGAGATGAGCAGATACTGGCTGCATAGTCTGTGTCAAAATGAAGCCGTATGCACATCTGCCCAACACAAAAAAGAAAGCATGCTTTGGCTTGTGACCGCCTAAGCTTTGTATAATCTGGTAATCCAGACAATACTCTCTCTTGTAAAATACAGAAATTATTATTTTAAAAGATGGTAACATGGAAGAACTTTCCATAATAGAAAATTAGTACTCTATTAAAAATATTGGGCCTTGTGAATTTGTGCTTTCCCATTCCCAAAGCAGATGGCCATATATACAGCTAAATAAGAGCCAGTGTAAGATATCAGACAAAGGCTGAAACCGGTTCGGCTCAGTGGTAGAGCGTCGGTCTGTGGACTGAAGGTCCCAGGTTCGATTCCGGTCAAGGGCATGTACCTGGGTAGCGGGCACATCCCCAGTGGGGTGTGTGCAAGAGGCAGCTGGTCGGTGTTTCTCTCTCATCGACGTTTCTAGCTCTCTTTCTCTCTCCCTTCCTCTCTGTGAAAAATCAAAAAAAAAAAAAAAAAAAAAAAAAAAAAAGATATCAGACAAGGAGCAGGAAGATGGCTGGAGAAGCCACACCCTGGTGATCACCTCTGTTTCAGTAGCAAAACAGCCCCTCAGCTGACCTAATGGACCACATCAGCACCTGACCCAGTCCTCAATGGGAAAGGAATGATTGGTGTGCAGGCCATATCACTCATTCTGAGGGACCATTCTGCCCAGGGGCCTATGAAATAGGCATTCTATTATTTGGAGGGGGGTGTCTCATACCTTTTGGAGAATCTCTGAGGTGCCACGGTGGCCCAGAGCACATGCTTGGGCACCCTAGGGCAGTGGTTCTCACCCTTTATAATGCAGTTCCTCATGTCGTGGTGACCCCCAACCATGAAATTATTTTCGTTGCTACTTCATAACTGTAATTTTGCTACTGTTAATGAATCTTAATGTAAATATCTGTGTTTTCCAATGGTCTTGGGCTCTACAGCAGCGGTTCTCAACCTGTGGGTCGAAGCTCACAGGTTGAGAACTGCTAGCAGGGTCGCCTAAGAACATGGGAACATGAGGAACTGTGTTAAAGGGTTGTGGCATTAGAAAGGGTGAGAACCACTGCCCCAGGGGCTCTTGAACACAGGTTTAGTCCTGTTCTGGGGCTAGGCCTGGCTCTAATACTATCTTCTACACCTATGCCTCCAGATAGTTCTCTCTTAGGAGTCCTCTGTCCCCCAGGCTCAATACATCGAAGACCCCCGAGATGATTGTTTCTTCTTTTCTACTGGATACTAAGCCCCTGGGGCCAAGGCCCTGCTATTCTGTTGGAACCATACCCTGAACACCCCACTCAGGCACTTCCAAATACAATGGATGTTTGAAATACGTCCGAGATTCGTGTAATAGCTACATAAACTTTAAGACAGTACGAGATGAAATCGATAGAATGGCTCTCTAAAGAATCACTGAGCTCAGCTAAGTATCAGAATCTTTAGTTTTAAAAAACTTAAATTCTGCTACAATTGAATTCCTGGCAATGTTTATATAAATTATGGTCTAGCAAGCAGCCTCCCAAACAGTGACTGTGATGAGAAAGGGAAAGGAAATTAGAAAGCAAAATCACATATTTGGATAGGTACTAGATATTTATTTACTGAAAATGTACCCCTAGGTATCCTTAGTAAAGTGCTTTATGCATAGAAGGTGCTCAATAAATGGTTATTGTTTTGAGAACTTTTGGCAACTCACCACGATTAAATCAGGATGTGCAGCATGATTTCTCATTCAGGAGAGATCTAAGCATTCAATCACTCGTTTATTATAAAAATTAAATGATATGATGTCATGAAAGTGCTCTGTATGTTGTAAAGCACTATACCTACACAAGGTAGTATTGTTATTATTATTTAAGAGCAGCTCCAGGAAACATTTTAGTTTAGATTTTACAATTAGTCCTAAAAGCTTACAACTCAACTCTCCATCAATTATGGCTGTGGTGTTCCATTTAAGAGTGACAACGGGTGTCCAAAAGAGGCCTATTAACCGAGCCCAGGCATCCAACACATCCATTATGGTTGTGCAAAGAACAAGAGAAGAAATATACTTGCAGTAGACAAAAGGCTGAGAAAGGTATATATAACAATTAAAAGGAAGAGTTTCATTATACGGTCAAAATTCACTTAAGTTCAACCTACCTGCCAACCATTTCCCCATCAATGGAAGTGCAGATTCATTACTCAGGGGAAAGACAGAATGGCAGCTATCACATAATTAAAGTATCTGAAAGGATTATATCCAATTTCCTGTCACTGACCCCAGGCCATCCTTCCAGCTCCTCCCATGGTCACCTCAACACACCTTTCCTCTCTACACCAAGGTCTTCTTGTGTCCAAAGTTCTACTTGGGTCTTCTCGGATCTACATCGTTGGCTTCTTGTCCTTTGATCATCAGCATCTTTTACCCACTCTGCCAGTTCTTTAGGAATCTTGTCTGTCCTGTCTCAACCACCCAGACTAGCCTCTCCACTGGCTTCTTCCACCCAGTGTGGGGATGGCTGTCTTGCTTGAGGAAAGTCACAAAGCTGTATGGGCCAGTGTGAGATGAGCCTCTTTCTGCTGGGCCACCTCTTAGGCCCTCATCCCATACAGCAATTATCCCACATTCTTATGACTGCTTTCTAACTCTCTACCACTTTTTACTACCCTTCTTTTTCAGGACAACAGTTTCTTTCTGCCTTTGCAGAGAAAACAGAGGTTAGAAACGCCAAATCCTCTAAAAAGTTTCCCAGTCAACCCTCCCAACTAAAGAAAAAACAAATTTCCATTCACACTGACTGTGATTTCCTTTTCTGACTTTAGCTGAATCCAACATGTCCTTTCTTTAATTCACCCATCACCCTTCCCCTAGATCATGATCCCAGCACATCCTGCCACGGCCACTGCAGTCATAAATTAGTCGCCTCCTCACAGACTAAAATCCTTCTAACTGTTCCTGTTTCTGTCTTCACACAGACTTTTCCTTAATGCGTTCCCACCAGTTCTATGGCAAGATGCTCCTCATTCTTTATGTCTCAGGTCAATTGCCAAAGATCACAGAAAGCTGTGTGGTCCACCCAAATGAGGCAGCTTCCCACTCCAACTTCACTCTGCAACACACATCATCCCCTTTTGTTTTCTGGGCACTACTACCCTGTCTGATCAGCTTACTTATGTATTATTTTTTTCAATTTATTTGCTCAAGCTTTCACTCATCCAGGAGAAATGTAAGCTCCATGAGAGCAGGGAGCTTGCTATACTTCTTTCTCATCTCCCTCCTCCATGCTATCCTAGAGTTCTGACAGAGTATTTGTCGTGTTGCTGTTTCTACTCTCACAACTCTAAGATGTTCTGGCTACCCCCTTCTTGGAGCACTGCCTATGAAGTGCAGGCAGAGCTGAGATCGGAGGTGAAGGCAGCCTCTAACTGCAGCTGGCTGTGTGGCCTCTAGGCCAGGGCTGATTATGCACAGGGAAGTCTTTCCTGCCTGCTGAACCACCAGTTCTATCCCCTATAGTAGGCAACAGGCAAAACCCAGGAGCAACAGTGAAGAACTACCAGTCTTCCATCACTCTTGGATTTTGCTAGGGAAGAAGTGGTGCTAGTAGAAGGGGTCTCTTTGCTGGTGGCTCATGTGTAGAATTGAGTCTCACCTCTAGGATCCAGCTCAGGTGGCTATGGTGAGATGACCACACCGCCCTCACTTTGCCACCTCTGAGCTCCACCAAAGCCTCCTTAATAGCAATTGGCATCTCTGTTGATTTCTGGGAGTCTGAAATCTTGGCCTGTCTTACCTGTAGAAACCATTTCATCCTGAACATATGGACTCAGTTTGTCTATGTAGTGGTAAAGCCTGGTGCAGGGTCACATAATGAGATAGGGTGTTGCCCAGTCATTTCTTCCAAATGGTCCCTAGGGAGCTCTGGGCTAGCCCTGGGGCAGAATGACTCACTTAATTCCCTCCGATAGCCTCACATTTTTATCTGCTGAGGACAGCACTATTCTAAATCTGATTGAATTTAGCTTAGCTATACCATTAAACTCTAATCACCACCTCATACTGAACAAGATAAAGACAGTGCTTACTTTTTTCCACCTCACCCCCACAAAAGTCCCAAATTCCAAGTTCTCAATCAGTACATGTGGTCTGCTTTCCAGAACTGAAACTGGTCTGCAACAACAGTTTGTCTTTTGTTACTTGCATCCAATTTTGTAGAACTGTCTGGTTCTTCATTTTATATTTAATCTACACTTGAACCTCAATCCCTGATATAAGTTCATAAATTGGACCCTAATCTTTAAGTGAAACTACTATAATTTTTCCCTCCCACTGTCACTTGAACTCTAAGATCACTCTTTTACCATTCAAGTTAAATGATGGGGAGGGTATGATAACTTCCATATCTTGCTTTCTGAAAAACGGGCAATGGCTTCCTGCCATTCCAATGATACATTTTTATTTTCAAGCCTGCCATTTACTTGTCTGATAACCTTATTTTTCACTATTCAACCATCGCTCTTCACTCTGCCTAGGCAGATCTTATTACCTCTTTAATCTAAAATCCCTACTAGCATTATTTCCTAAAGCTAGAGTGCCTTTCATAGACTTCTCCATTTTTCATGACATTCTCAAAATATAACTTTCATGCACACCAAGCAGTCATGATCTCTGGTCACAGTACGTGTTCCCAATGAAAATACCTGCCATGAAATGTTTTAAAATTTCTTTTCTTTGACTACAGTGGACTTGCTTGGCTCTCTCAGAACAAGGTGTGCCCTGCCCTCTTTAACATTCTAGGACCTCTCCCGACTGCAAGCCCTTTTCCTGGAG